GGGCGGCACGAAGGGCCGTAAGGGCGGCGCGAAGGGCCGTAGGGGGCGGCGCGACGAGCCGTGAGGGGGCCGCTAAGGGCGACGCGACGGGGCCGTGAGGGGCCTAGCGAGGGCGCGACGGTAGGGAGAGCACACAGGGCGCGACTCGGGCCTGAGCGAAGCGCGCTCCGGGCAGGAAAAAAAAAAAATCGTGGTGGTGGGCCCTAGGAATCGTTCCCACTAGGGAACCTGCTCGATACCATGAGAAGAAACGAGGAATGAGAATGACTAAGGGAAAGTTGGGTACAAATACAAACCCTAGAAAACTGTACCCCATATGTGCTACCCCACTATAGCCTACAGTAGCTCTGTCATATAAATCTGACAGACTTGTCACTGTAAGACACCTATGGTATACATTCTAAAGTGCAACTATATATGCCGTATCTGCTTTTGGCGACCCAAAATCCTAAGGCACTGTTGCAACAAGCACTAACTCTTCTGGATCTATGCCGCATTGGAGAAATCTATGGTTCTCGCTAAAATGCATGTCGTAGAAGCCGCTTGGAAAATATGGTTCTCACCAAAATGCATGGATTGAGAAAGCTTGCTTTCTTGTTTTTATCATTTGGCATCGTTCTCATTGCAAACGGCATATTACAACATATCCATCGAGTTCTAACACAAGCTAGTACATGCAGAGAATACTAGCTAAAATGTACCGTGTCCAAACGGCCTTAGTAGGCAGTCGATGCTGGGGTGGGTGGTGGGAAAGTTGAGTGAGCCGTTGGAAATAGAGAAACGTGGGTGGAGGGAAATGAGCTCCAACCCACGGTCTTTGTAGTTGGAGAAGGGCGTTTAGCGCGCTTCGACGATGCCAAATGTGCAGTACAAGCAGCTTCGCTTTCACAATACACAATTTAAAAAACACAATGTGTGTTTAAAATTTATAATTTTTAGGTGAGGACATACGTATAATTTGAGCGCCAATGACATTCGTGGAGATTGCAGCTTGGTCGTGGTGCCTGATACGCGGGAAATCTTGCCGCCATATAAGAAGACTGCTAACTTAAGGTTGTTGCATCACACCGGTAGTGTATCATTGCACTGGAGACGTGGACAATCCTATACGACAAGCTACTCTGCCTCAACTGCCAACCAACTTCAACCACATCCACCACAACGACGTCCAAGAAGAAGCAACTTTCAGCTTCATCGACACGGTGCTACCGCCAACAACTTTCATTCTTCGACGTCACCATCGACACGACCAACACAACCCACACCACGCTCGTCTCTCCACTGGCACATGTCTCAGAAGACCCATTGAAATGAAGCACGTTGCCTTGCAAGGAACAGAAAGCAAGCTTTCTCAGTATGGAATTTTCTGAAAGTGTATACACTTTCCAGAAATATATACGTATTGTGAACGCGCAGCTGCCTGTAACGCAGCAAGGCAAGTGCTGAACTTCATTCTGAGTATATAACGAGGGTTGGAGGCCATTAGGCCTCCACCCACGTCTTCGTTTCGGAACTTCCGTTCCACTTCCCACCCGCCCCCCCCCATCGGTACTATCATGTGTAATTGATCGTTGGACGAGAATGTTGTAATTTCTCATTGAAATGAAGCACGTTGCCTTGCAAGGAACAGAAAGCAAGCTTTCTCAATTTCAGACAGAGTGTTGTATGAGAAGCTGTGTGTGACAATGTTTCAATTGCCTGAAATCGGTACCGTACTTCCAGAAAGAAAATTTGCAGTCACAATGTAAACTATGGTAGCTCCGTATGTACTTTCTGCATCATTGCAGAGGAGGATTTTCTAAGAGGACGTATAAAAATCTACCAGTACATTTCAATGTACCATCTTTCCATCTCTGGTCAGGGGAGGTTGCAACGACGATCATTGCATGCATGTACCGCCAGCTGCTCATCCACTTCCCAGCAGCTCCTGCTGTAAGTTTGAATGCCCTTGTTCTTAACATCTGATAGTAGTGTCCTCTCCTCTCACTTCCGATGGCCACGGAAAGCTGCAACCAGCCTACCCATGCTACTATGATTCAGCGGCTGAACTTCCGGGGCTCTACAGCGTACAGGGGAAGTGGTGCGCGGCGCTATACATGCTGGGCGGAACGTCATGCATGCCACCAATCGCGGGCTCAAACAGGTCCGGGGCCTCTCTTCCGACCCGGAAGACAATGACTCCTCCTGTTCCGCATCCGCTTCCTTCTTACTTCTCGAACCGCTTAACCCTTCTGGCGCCCGCTCGTCGTGGCTGCCCGCGCGCCGGCGTCTGCCGCCACTTCCGGCCGATACGCATTGCGTCAGTGGTGGCGGCGACTCCTCATCGCCGTCACTGTCGTCCGCGTAGCTGCTCTCGCCAAACCGCGCAGATACGCATGCAGGCTGCGACGATGACAGGGAGGAATCTGGTAAGGTGGTTGAAGCCCCTGCCTTACCAGACGCCTGACTCACAACGCTTCCAGCGCCGCCACTGAAAGCGGAAAGACTCCTGACGCTGCTTATGCGGCGGCGGGAGGTCGAACGAATCGGGGAGTCGGACCTGGATGCGGAGTGAGATCTGGATGCAGCGGGAGTGGGGCTCGTACTGGCGGTAGAACTCGAGTCGGCGGCAATCATCTTGCTTCCCCCGACTAACTCGCGTTCGCAGCGCAGTGCTGCGACTCGGTGTTGCGCCTCTAGCACCTGAAGTTTCACTTCCAACAGCTTTAGCTGAGCCGAAGCCTCTGACGTCGCCACGTCAGCATCGGGTAATGTACAGCTCAGCGATACACGCGCCGCATCCCTGCATGGCCTCGGAGCTGCGAGGCCAGGGGGAAGCGCCGTGGGAAGTTGCATGCCGAGCAAGAATAGGTCAGAGTCAGGCTGCAGGTAGGGCCGAGCGAGCGGGTCAGTGGATGCGGCGGAAAGATCATGGTCGCGTCGTGGGCGGCTCATAGATCGACAGATGTCAATGTCCCACATCTCGTCGTCATCGTCGTCGTCGTTCGCCAACTCCTCGCACGCTGGGACGACGACATTTGTAACCTCCCCGCCGACGTTGTCGAGCAGTCGCGGTTCCGCAGAAAGTGGCTCCTCGACCGCGGCGTCAGGGATGAAATCGAGGTCGGGGATTTCAACACTCAACTGCCGTCGTGGCATCGACGGCGAAGAGCTATCGCGAGGAGGCATGTTTGAACGAAGCAGCACTAGTCGGGAAACGTCTACTAGCCTAGAGAATGTGATGTCACTGGAGTTAGCTCAGCAGCTGTGGAAGCATTTCACTCAAGTGCTACAAGCTCGAACTTCGCAAGAAAGCATTCCGGTTTCTGCCAGAAACTTTACCACAGAGAGCTGACGAGGGAGGGGATGCCCTCGGCTTCGTGGAAACGATTTCATCCATCATTCCCCCTCTTTCCAGCCAGCACAGGTACACACAACACAGGTTGCCATATGCCACTTCCTCCCCTTTCGTCGTCATAACCTGGAGCCAGCGTGTAAACCGCAATGAATGCGGGTAAGGACAGAGCCCTTTTCCACCATTCGAGTTTCTCGCATCCAGTCAGGTCAGCGCGACCGCTCCTCCTCGCGTGGCAAATGAATGCTGGCTGAATCGTTGAGGCGGGTGGGTGGGTGAAATGAAGAGCGAGGTATGCTAGGGTTTTGTCGGTCAGCAGATATTATTCTTGTAACTTCTGAATGGCTGGTACCCAAATTATGAAAACCTAGATGGGATCGATGGTCGCCACCACAGTTTGGAGGCATAGGCTCTGGTACTCTATTCTTCAGAATCCACACCCTCGACCACCGTGGAAAGATGCTCATATAATCAGAACCCGAGAGTCAAACCTGTGCACCTTGAATCAAGGTTGCAATTCAAATTCGTGACGATTTGAATAGGGAGAATTTCGGAGAATAAATTTCTTGTGTCCAACTATTCTCCCCCACGCACCTTGCGCTTCATGATTGGACGGAGCGGGGCGGTCCACAGGTCTGATGTCAACTTGTGTAACTGTGCCCTCGGTTGGTAGGTATCGATATAGCGAAGCATCACTCGTTCGGAAGAACATGTTTACTGGTGATGTTAAAGGAATCTGTAAAACACCTCATTGCAATTGCTTTCTCCCCTCTTGCTCCTATGATCCTATCCTTCAAATTCTCCCAACCAGGGCTCTTGGTGGGTACCTAAATTTGCAACTCAAATGTGATGTATAGTAAGACCACATCTAACACCTATCTTATATCAATTATGATATGGTATAATGGTACTATCCAGAAAATACGTCCAATGAAACAATACAGATTTTTAGAATCCATATTTTCACGGTACTATCACGGAAGAGTGTACATTGCAAGTTATATAGGGGTAAGAAACGTTCTATGATATTTTATGAAGATGCGTGTATAAGAAACGCCAGAAGTAACTTCTGAGTAGCATGGAGATTACAGCGAACACTGGTTCTGTGTTTGGGCTGGGAGTTTTAGGTCAGGTCGCAGGCTGTCAGAGCGCGGGAAATCGAGGCGTCGCGTTTGAATTCCTGCCATTCTCTGAACATCTGTTCTTCTCCTCGATTGTCTCAGCAACTGAACCTCGAGACCTCCAAATCACACACGATACCTCTATCCCAGCCTTCCTTCAGCCAGTCCTGGTTTCATTGTCCTCTTGGAAGCCGCCTCCTCGCGATTTCGTCATTTGCCACATCTAGCAGGGCGTCGTGACGTATCGATCAAAACTTCCCACTAGGAACGCTACTGAAAGCCCAGTGTCCGTTCGTTCTGCTGTCATTCAAGCAGCCATCATGAAGCGGTTTGCGTTCGAAAATATAGATCCCAACCATTTGTCCCATCGCAGTTCCGAGAGAGAAGCAGCGTCAAAGATCCCGGCGCCCTCCACGGCGTCGAAGCTGCTGCCGCCGAGCCACCTGATGACGCCGTGCACCCCAAGCCTCAGCTTCGCCTTCGCTCACCCCCCCGACACTCTCTCCAAGCCAGGACCCAGCGGGCCGCCTCGCCGATTCTCCCTCATGCCGCCCGCGTCGTCGGGTCGCTCTTCCATGTGCCCCACCCCGGCTGTAGGCCGGCAGAGCTTGGCGGGCGGGAAGAGTAACGGCGGGTCGAAGGCGGACCCTCGGCCGATCACGAGCAAGGCGTACCAGAGCCGGTGCGCGGACTCGGTGCTGGAGTATCTGCTGGCGGCGGGGTACGACCGCAGCTTGAACCGTAAGGTGTTGGCCATGCCGAGCAGCAAGGACTTCTTCCGCATGGCGGAGTTCCTCCTCGCGCGCATCGACCCGCGCTTCAAGCTGGGCGCGAAGCAAGACGACGACCTGCTGGCGGCGCTCAAGTGGCTCGGATACCCGTTCAGCATCAGCAAGAACGCGCTGCACTCCGTCGGAACGCCGCACACGTGGCCGCCGCTGCTCGCCATGCTGCACTGGCTCGTGCAGCTGCTCGCTTACCACCAAGCCACCACCGCCGCGCACTCCGCTCCATCCGCATCGGCTCAAGCGGGCGCGGTGCATCCGGTGCGACGGTTGTTCTTGGAGCAGGTGCGCGCGGGGTTCCGCGTGTTCATGAGCGAGGAGGACGAGGACGCCGCCACGGCCGGCAGCCACGCCGCCATGGAGGAGTTCGTGCGACGCAGCGATGCCATGCTGGACGACGTGCGACGGAGCATCGGCCAGAAGGAAGAGATCGTGCAGCGCCTCAAGGTGAGGCGCACGCCCCGTGGCATGACGACGCATGCGTGCAAATCTGTTGTAGCTCACCCGCAATTGTCTCCGTTGTGGTGTGTGATTTGAATTGTGACGTGACAGGAGCGAGTGCAACAGGCGGAGGGGCCGTCGCGGCTGGAGGCGGTGGTGGCGCAGCGCCAGGCGGTGGTGAAGGCGGTGGGGGACGCGGAGAGGCGAGCGGCGCAGGCGAGAACGGAGAGCAAGGTGCGTCCCCTTGGATTGGTGCCTTTCCTATCCCTCATGATTAGATCCGCGACACTCATAAAAGCGCGGCGAGTTCTTAGGTGCGCGCAGCGACATCTAGGTTGATGGTCTACAACTCGGCCTCGTCAGCCGCTGCCCGCCGCCACCCCATGGTGCGGTGGCTGCCCAGCAGCGTGTGAGCATCCCTCGGCCTGTGCGCCCATCCCATCGTGTGTGTGCGCCCATCCCATCGTGTGTGTGCGCCCATCCCATCGTGTGTGTGCGCTCGCAGGAGCTAGATGCGGCGATGGAGGAGAAGCGCGCGGAACTGGAGGAGCGTCGTCGCGCAACGCAGGCGATGAAGGCGGAGAACGCGCGGTTGCGCGCGACAGTGGAGGCGCAGGGGGTGACAGCGGCGGAGGTGGAGCGCATGGTGACACTCAAGGCGCAGCGCGAGGAGGCGCGCATGGCGGTGATGGCGGGGCGCAAGGACGCGGAGAAGGAGGCGTGGGCGGCGGAAGTGGAGGTGGCGAGGCTTGTGGCGCAGATGGAGGCAGGCGCGCACGAATTCAACGCGCTCGCCGCCAAGTGAGTTGCGGGCGGGCTGACGGGCGGGTGGGCAGGCGAGCCAGTCTGGGTGTGCTGAATGGAGATCGCGACGCAGGAACGCGACAGGACCGTGTTATGTGCACGGCTCGTCATGTTGAGCGTATCCTGTCCGTGCGCGTGCACTGTCCCTCCTTGTTTCTGTACTTGCTCAGGCGCAAGCTGGTGCCCGACACGGCGAAGCACGCGCGCGGAATGCGATACGACGTGTGCGTGAATCCACGCGCGGGCACATGGACGGACATGCTGGGCGACTGCCACCCCAAGGCCGACATCCGCGCGGGGCTGGCGGGCGTGCTGCGCACATACGAGGAGAAGCGCGCGTGGCGGGAGAGGCAGGTGGCGGAGGCGGAGGCGGAGGTGGAGCAGGCGGAGGGCGAGGCGAAGGACGCACAGGCAGCGGCGCAGCACATGGAGAAGATGCGCACCATGGTGAGATGGGGGGGGATGGTGAGATGGGGGGGGATGGTGAGATGGGGGGGGGGGGGTAATGTTGAGATGGGGGGAGATGCGCATGATTGTGACAGCTGGACACACAAGGGTTTGAATCGCGTGAAAAAACGGGGCCTCTTGAATGGGCCGTGGGACGGACGAACCTGTCCTGTTGTGGTGCAAGCGACGCACGGGTGCCCAAGGAGCTTGTGGGCATCCATGTGTGCTTGGCTGCCATCTGTTGTGCGCCCCACTCTGCATGCTCTCCACTACCCCTGTCCCTTGATTGTACAAACATGTGTGTATGTGTGCATTCTGAAATACCTGAGCGTTTCCATTGCATGTGCAGCTGGAGCAGGACGAGAGGGAGGAGATTGAGATGCGGCAGAAGCATGTGGAAGCCATGGTGGTGAAAGTGCGGGAGAGCGAGAGGCGCGTGCGGCAGCTGGAGCAGGGGCGCGGCGATGAGATCACTCAGCTGGAGCAGGAGCTCAAGGTGAGACAGGCAGCGCGACCGGAGAGCAGGCCAGAGGGCCGCAGGCAGGGGGAGAAGGCAGGAGGGCACCAGGTAAGGGGAGAGGCAGGAGGGCAGCAGGTAAGGGGAGAGGCAGGAGGGCAGCAGGTAAGGTGAGAGGCAGGAGGGCAGCAGGTAAGGGGAGAGGCAGGAGGGCAGCAGGTAAGGGGAGAGGCAGGAGGGCAGCAGGTAAGGGGAGAGGCAGGAGGGCAGCAGGTAAGGGGAGAAGGCAGGAGGGCAGCAGGTAAGGGGAGAAGGCAGGAGGGCAGCAGGTAAGGGGAGAGGCAGGAGGGCAGCAGGTAAGGGGAGAGGCAGGAGGGCAGCAGGTAAGGGGAGAGGCAGGAGGGCAGCAGGTAAGGGGAGAAGGCAGGAGGGCAGCAGGTAAGGGGAGAAGGCAGGAGGGCAGCAGGTAAGGTGAGAGGCAGGAGGGCAGCAGGTAATGGGAGAGGCAGGAGGGCAGCAGGTAAGGGGAGAGGCAGGAGGGCAGCAGGTAAGGGGAGAGGCAGGAGGGCAGCAGGTAAGGGGAGAGGCAGGAGGGCAGCAGGTAAGGGGAGAAGGCAGGAGGGCAGCAGGTAAGGTGAGAGGCAGGAGGGCAGCAGGTAAGGGGAGAGGCAGGAGGGCAGCAGGTAAGGGGAGAGGCAGGAGGGCAGCAGGTAAGGGGAGAGGCAGGAGGGCAGCAGGTAAGGGGAGAGGCAGGAGGGCAGCAGGTAAGGGGAGAGGCAGGAGGGCAGCAGGTAAGGGGAGAGGCAGGAGGGCAGCAGGTAAGGTGAGAGGCAGGAGGGACATGAAACCGGATACAAGGTGGGCCAGAAGCACGTCCAAACCCTAAGCTGGATTCTTTACAGAAGTATCTTTCCGTAATGAAGCCCTAGTGAGGAGCAACTGCACTGGTTGCTAACATGGAAAATTTCAACCGCATTACACCATAACCTTCCTTCCCTTTCTGCGTTGTCTGTCTGCACATGCGCAGTTGGCAGTGGCAGAGAGCCGAGCGGAGCGACGGAGGGAGGTGGAAGAGATGGCGCAGACGCTGCAGCGCGTGACACGAGTCGATGGCTTGCTGCAAGAACATGTGGCCTCGGTCAGCCACACGGTAACAGCAGTTGATGAGAGCTGCAACAGGATCACACTGCAACCACTGCCGGAGTAGGTGCTGCACCCTTAACTTCGCTGCCTGTTTGCAATGTTTGCGGGTTGCGGTATGTGAAACACGGATACCTGGATGTAGAAAGGGTGTAGAAACTCTCTAGATATACTGGTAGTGTACTAAATGTGGTAGGACCCATGAACATGTACTGTATGGTGTAACCAACCAAGTTCCCTGGTCTAATCTAAGGATGTATGTGTATTACATCTCGTGTCAGGTCAGGAGTACGGTACTGTCTGTTTTGTGCGGAACTTGCGGGTGACACAAAGTTGCACAACAGCCACTTCCAGGAATGTAAGGTGACCTTGCCAGATTGATGTGCGATGAATGCACGCATCGAAATGAAAAGTGAGGCATAAGGACACCGTAGTTTCCCGTATATAGGACCCTCCAGAAAGAGAGTCCCCCGGGTTTTTATGCGGGGGGCGAAGAAAACGTTTATTTAGGGTCAAAGCGTGAGGTGAGGACCTCCCATTTGATATCAACTAACATGGTACCGTACTAAGAATTGTTGGAAACTGCTAGAAAGGCATAGTGCCAGCGTAGCGGAAACGTGTTTGTAGAAAAGAACAAGATACAAATCTTGCACTGATCATTGAAAAGTAGAATGATGTCAGAATGGTGACCAGGGCCTCAGATTCGTTTTTGGCTTGGCTGATACGTCAGCCTTAGCAGCCAACGTTAAGCTGATCAATCAGAGTTGGTTGTAAAAAAAAAACTGAAAGTTCAGACAAGTATAAAAAAAAAACGCTGACTAATCAGCCTCACTTAATACACTCTGGCTGATCCATGTTGAGCACTTTTTTCATTAAATTTAGCAGGCATAACAGGGAAACACTACACCACATACATGACATTAGCTAGCTGCTCATTTCATCTTCATCACTAGAACTACCTCCTGCATCTCCTACTGGCTCCTCCTCATCATCTACATCTACTGGCTCCTCCTCATCATCTACATCTACTGGCTCCTCCTCGTGCTTGCCCTTCTTGTTCTCGCCTGGGATTGGGGTGCGAATGGGAGCATTGCTGAAAGGCTTGCGCTTTCTGTAACTCCGCCAGATCTCAACTACCTCATCGTAGTTGGGCTTGTACTGCATGAGGGACAGACACATGAGGTCCCCCAGCCTCGCGTCCTTGATCCCCCCTCTCCGCCATGTCTTGATCACGTTTTGCCGAGTGAATCCCCTTTCGCACTCCACAGTGCTGAGGGGAATCACAGCCACCGCCACCCAGAGCTGCACCAGATTGGGGTAGCTCTCCCGCCAGTCTGGCGTCTTGAGGATCGCCGATAGTCCGCTGTGGAAGCCCCTCTCTTCCTTGGGGGCACGTGCAAGGACTGAACAGAAGAGGCGAAGCTCCTTGCCTGCCTGCCTCTTGTTGATGCCTGGTGGGAGGGAGGGAGGGTTAAGATGAGGCACATGACATGAGCAAACAGGTGCACCACAAAGGATTTTCAAGCATGGATACGATATCAAAGGTTCACAAAGGCGCCACAACAGACCTGGCAAGATGTCCTCACGGTCCTGAGCCTTGAACATCGTCACCAACGACTGAAGCCACTCCAGGCAACGAGCGTTCCGCTCAGACTTGCTTTGTGGCCATGCATCTGGTGTGAACAGGCGGACTCCAGAGAGGGAGTCCAGATCACCGAGCCTTCCCTCCAGGTTCGCCACGATCCTCTCTGCGAACTCGGTGCACAACTGGATGCACCCGTCGTGGTCCTCCGGGCCGCTGTACGAGTCCACGGGCTCGTCGTGAAGGGTGAACGTGATAGAAGATGGTCGGCCGTCACTGTCGACACCTTCCACCTTCACTTCGCGGCTACACCCCGGGCCATGGCGCAGCAGGAAAGGTGACAGCCACTGGCTCATGCCGCTGCCGAAGTCATCGCCGCAGTCCACGTAGCGGCTCTCGATGTGACGCGTTGTCCGCTTGATCTGCGCATGCAAAGACACCAGATCGAGCTGGACAGACAGAGGCACACAGTGACACAGTTAAAAGGGTTAATGTGGGGACATGCGTATCTGTATTCGCACCATCTCACCTGTTTCTGCTGGAAGGTCTTGTTCAAAATGTTGAGCTGCTCAAGCACATCAGCCAGGAAGTAAAGGAAGAAGTGAAAACGGTAGGAGCTTGCCAGTTTGTACATCTTGCTGTTAAGCTCCTTCAGCAGCACAATCACTGCCGGCAAAACAGCGACAAGGCGACGAACGGCATCCCCCCTTGACAACCACCGAACGGAATGGATGCCTTGCACTTCAAGGCTCGTTTCGGTGATGACTTCCTGCAGGTCCATGAACCGTGCGTGGCGCGGTCCCGACCGACCAAGCAAATCCGCCACTGCCCGGATGAGATCGTCGACCATGTCGAAGACGGGGAGCTCCTCTGCTGCATCCTTCGCTGCAAGTGCCTCCCTGCAAGTACAACATCAAACTCAAGACGTTAAACACGAGCTCGAACCACATGGCGTAACGGGCTGGAAACGTAGCAGCAGAGCTCACTTACCTGTGAGCGATGCAGTGAACGGAGACAAGGTGCGGAATCTTCTGTCGCAGGCGGACAACCAGGCCGGCCTTAGACCCCATCATCACTCTTGCGCCGTCGGTGCTAATGCCAGAAATTCTCTGTAGATCGACACCGACGGACTGCAAGTGGGAAAGCAGGATGCTCAGAAGTGAAGAAGCGTCCGCCTTTTCCACCGTGATCAGCTGCATGAACTCGGTCACGAGCACGTTGTCGCGGATGAACGAGGCATACAAGATCATGTGCTTCCCCCGGAGTCGATCCGTGCTTTCATCGATGCAGATGCCGATGAAAGGGCTTGTCAGGATGTGCTCCAGCTGAGTTGTCTGTAGCCAGGTAGCAAGGGCCTGCGTGAGCTCACCGAAGCCGTACCTACACGCAGGGAAACCAAAGACAAGAGATTAGAAGAGGGTTTAGGGTTGAACATCAAAACATCAACGCAATACAAATGTGGCTAGTACTCACGTTGTGTAGTAGGTGCCATATCCCTTCTTAGGGTAGCCCTGGACACCCTTACGCGCGAGGTACTGCACCAGCTTCACCCATGTTCCCATTGGCGCATCGCAGGAACTGACGAACAGCATGGAGTCGAGCAACGCCACGACGCGGTTCTTCTCAGCATCGATGGCGGCTCGATGTTGGTCGATCCGTGGCTGCTTTGAGGCCGCGTTCAGCAGAGCCTCTTGCTTCTCCATCGCCAGCCTGTGTTTCGTCGTGCCGGCGTGCTTGCGAAACGCCTGCGTCTGCACGTCGGTCGCCCCTCGCCCTGTCCGGCCACATCGCCCCCTGACTCCGGCATGCTTGGTGCAGACACTGCACTTAAAAGCAGGGAAACCAGATTTAGATTTGGTTAGCACAAGCCACGGGAACCTCTCAGACCACTTGGTTTTGTACTTCAAAAGAGCGTCTGCATAGACTGCCTCGATGGCCTCTGAAATGTCTATGACCAAGGATGGAAGAGGGGCTGTGTTGTTCGCGACAGGTTGCTCGACGGCGGTGCTCGAAGAAGGTTTTGCCCAGCTCAGCGTCGACTGCTTGAGCTTGAAGTTGCGCGGGCCAGTGGACTTTGTTGTTGGCGAGTCGAGAACCACCGTGTCGGAGACGGCAGCCGGCGCAGCAGGCTCACCCCGGATGGAATCCGAGCTTGAAGAAACCGGTGGGTGGTCGCGGTGCACCCTCTCGACTAGTGCTGGCTTTGCAGTAGGAAGCCTGGGAGCGAGGACACCAGGGGCAAGCGAGCGCAGGAGCATATCAAGCCCCGTCCTGGCTTCCTCTAGGCCGTCTAATTCATCATCGCTGCCTGCATCAT